GAAATTCTAGGGAATTCAATCATTATGTTCTTTGTGTTTAATTTTTAATTGATTTTCCAAAAAATATTTGATGTACAGATTTGGCTTAGTTGCAATTTTATTATATGTATCATTATGTACACTAGCATTGCCCACGGCTCCGCCCGCGTTCAGATGACCAAAAACCAAATTCTTAAGTTTTACATATTAGTATAATCTTACATTGCAGTTTTTGTATTTTTTGCTCAGAAATGAGAACTTTTCCCGCGGTAAAAAGTTATGATATGAGGTAATATGCAGGATAATGTTGAAGATAGATAAGTGTTAGCAAAAACATATTTAATCCGTAAGATTGGGTTAAGTTGCATTTAAAAGTCGCTAGAAAGAGTGGGTTTCCGCATAATTTAAAATAATATTTTTATAACTTATCTCTACATATAATAAAATTGTAACTGAGCCGAGTCTGTACAATAAACATTTTTTGGAAAATCTTATTGAAATAGACATTATTATCGATACTATATCGATCGATGATTTTTGTTTGTCTGTCTGTCTGTGACTGAATCACGGAAAACCCACTGGAGGGACTTTAATGAAATTTGGTATGATGTTAGCTGGTTATCCGGGTCAACATATAGGATACTTTTTACTGCGGGAAAATATCTCTTCTCTGAGAAATCTATACTAAACGTTAGAACGGTAAGTAGAGACGAACCCGAACAGGGCGAGGGTGAGTCGCTATTCGTTATATAAATATGTTTTTACTCATAATATACGTAAAGTCTCGACTTATCAACTCTACTAGTAACAAGAGATCTGGCCCAAAGAATCAGCATTGCCCTGCAGCGGGGGAATGCAGCTAGCATTCTTAACATAATTCCACGCGGACATGACTTCTACAGTAATAATTAAGTGTACATTTGATTTGTTTATATAAGAAATATATTTGTAACTTCAATGTATTTTCTCGTAAATAAAGGGTGCTTAATAATATATTAAAATAAAACATCAAACTAATTTATCTCGTTATTATTTATTTATTTTTAGATAAAGTATATTGTACATCCGTTTAACATTTCTATGACTGTATTTTTTCATAAAAATAACTCCAACTTCCTACCATATAATGCTAAGGCTTCACGAGACTAGCAAGCGATCGATTGACTCTAACACTGGGTTTTAACAAATTGGACTTTGGAACATTGTAATAGAGCACAAAATCAGTCGCATTCCACGATGACTTACAATAAAACCTCATACTAATTAATAATAGGCAGGTATAACAATCATCTTCAGTGGTAAATACTTTATTTTTTTTTCACATTTTGACTATAGGATGAGTACAACACACCACGTGATACAATCAAGATGAGGTTTTATAATAATAATTAGATTAAAATTAATATAAACCCTATTAATATATTTCTGTGTTCATTCTTCCTTTAAACGACTCACATGATTATTTTATTATAGATTTTTACTTATGTTATAATATTCTCTTTTAAAACAAAGTGGCACACAAAGGCAAAGCTGGTATGATTTTTGTGATATACATACAATTGTAAAGGCAATTTGTAAGTGTTGAATTTAATGTGCGTGTTGAAAAATATAATGAACTTAAAAAAAATTAGGGTAGGGTCGATTCATTTTGCAAAATACACAATAAATTCGATATTACTAAATTTTTTTTTTTTAAATCATTATATTTTTTTTAGCGCAGCAGCAAAAATCTTGAAAGCCTTGATGAGTATGTTTGCACCTAAGTTAGAATAATTATATAATGTATATTACTATAGTTCAATTATTACATTTAGTTTATGTTATAAGTAACATCTACTAACACAAATCCATCACAATTATTTAGAATATCAGTTGTTTCCACTTCGTTCTGGTTACTTTATCTATATAATAATATTTAACTACGCATTTTACCTATTTGATTATCCTAGGAGTTTATTAAAATAGTTGAGTCGATTTGTCAATAAAATCTTTTCATATTATAACAACATTATTAGACACGAAGACATTATCTATATGAATTAAAAAGAGGTATTTTAGTCTAGTCAACAAGTTGAAAAACATATTAATTCTTGCTACTGCGAACTAAGATACGAGCGGACATCTTGTTGGATTCGTTATGATGTCTAGAAAAATGTGCAAATTTTCAAACTGGCACATAAACAATCGCAAAAGTTATAAACAATTAATGATTCAAAAAAATCAGACCCTTTTCTAGCACCAATGTGCTAGAAACGATTCAGAAAGAGGAAATTTTCAAAAAAAGCCGCGTCAGTGCCATAATGCTGCCTTGAAACAGGACGCTAATCATATTTATTTTTTATGTTATTAAATATTAATTTAAGAATTACTGTCATCTAGACACTTGAATGAAAAAAAACCGTCCGTCATTAACTTATAATTCGGTTAATTAATTAACAATTTTTTTAAAGTCTCGTTTACAGTATTGTTTAAACAAAAGCTCTTATAAAATTATTTCGCTTTGTGGAGATCTTTTGGTAGGTATATTAGTATATGAAGTAATCAGCATGTGCTATTTTTCATTATTATCTATTAGTTATGAATTTACGCAACAAATAAGAAAAAAAAAAGAAAAAAGGGGTTATTTTTTTTTTAAACCTGACGTATTTTAAGTCGCAGTAACAACAATTAACACGTTTTTCAACTTGTTGACTAGATTATTTGACAACCGCTTCTATAATATTATAACCAATATATAATTTGTATTTGAATTTTATTACGAAGTGAACGTCTACACACTATAATTACAATTTAGATTTGACTAGAAATAATCAGTACCTATAGATTTACTTAGTAGTTATATGAAAATTATATATTTAATATAGATATATTAAAAAAAATATAGATTTAAAACTGGATTCAAATTAACTTGGAAAATTTTATATTATTATATATATAATATATACTAATAAACTATATATAAACTAATATATATACTAATCACAAGAACTTAGTGACGCGATTGCACCAATTTGTACGTCCGCTTTCATATAATACTTTTTACATATAATAATGATACTTTAGATATTATAATGATATATTAACAGATATTAAATATATAGTAGCTTTTGACTTCAACATTTTAATGTCTTTAATTTGTTTACTATATGATTTTTTTGCGTTATGATACGATATGACAGTTTGGTGATTGTTCGACTTCTCTTATATTCTTCAATAGAGAAATATGATTTATGCTAAAGAAAATATTATCTTTATAAGTACTTTATTAACATGAAAGAGAACAATACGCTTATTCACAAAGGCCTTATTATTATTTTATAATAATTTACATGATAATTATGCGACATCGTATCGTTTTAACGACGGCGTTTTCTTTAATGTAGGTACGTTGCGTGGTATTTTATTATGTTGTTTATTTTAAAGTGAATATCTAAGAGGTGAAGGAGTTTCATGCTAATATGAGTGTAGAGTGCATTATCCTACTTATTAGAGTTAATTTTAAAAAGATAGGACTTATAATTAAAAGTTTTATTCATGACTTCTATATTTAATTTATATTATTTTTTTTTCATGTTATACTCGTATTATGTAGTAATTAAATATATTTTTAACGTTAATTCTGTTTAAATAGGCAAGAAAAATAATTTTCGGAAAATACAAGTTCTTAAAGAATTTGAACAGTTTGATTTATATTACAAATCACTACTGTCTTTCGATATTACCATATTTACATAGCGTGTAATTCACATTATGGAGAGTACATGTTTTAAAGTAATACACATATAAAATATTAATGGAATTGATAAATAATTTTATATTAAATATTTAAATAATAAGATAATTTTGTAAGTATTTCTTTCTGGTTTTATATTAATTTTACTTTTTTCTTACAAATATCTGAGAACTATTTTTGTACACTCCATAATGTTAATTGTGCATTTTTGTGGAATGCTATATAATTTTTTTTTGCTACAATTATATTTACTGAGAAAAACGTGATATTTACATAACATAATATAATTTTACTGTACTTATAATGACTGTTATGTATTGCTACACTTACAGTTTCGTTGCCGAAGGTTTGGTCAGGTCAGAAAGACAGACGGTTCTTATATAGTTTATAGACCATTTTCTACAAGAGATCAAATTCAAGAAAATAGTTTGTTTTAATATTTGCTTTTTGTGATAGGAACTTAATTATTAATGTTTTTTTTCCAAGTACATAGTTACAGATCCATTTTATTTATTATATAATTTCAGAACAACTTCTATATACGCGATTTTTATGTACAAAGGTCTACGTTTGCTAAAACTAAGCGAATATATTAATCTCTATCTCTTTCTTTCTATTCTTATATTCATAATAATATATTTTCTTTCTCACTCATTTACTTCCCACGCTAGCTTTCAATCTCGCTTTTTCACAAGAGTTTATAATACAGGTTTATGAATATTAATAAAAATCTATTTTGTAGTAGTTTTGAAAGTACCAAATATGAAATCATTTATAATTATTTGATAATTTTAGGATTTACTTTAAAAAAGAAAAAAAAATAAGAACACTGGGTTTTATTGTTCAATTGCATGAATTTCTATGTCTTATTATGAAAGCCTGTTATGTTTTAAAGATAGAGCTTTTTAACACGATTATTATATACGCTCGTGACAAAGCGCGTGCATCGATAGAAATACCATATAAAAGTGTGCTTATGTCAATTCACAATGCATGTTAGACATATTTGATTTAAAATAATGGTAGTGTGGTTATCTAATTAAATATTACATGATTTTCACAAAATCTCAAACACTTAAAATATTGATAGGTTAAAAGTATTTTGTATTACAGTGAGCATTCACTTGAGTGTATTTTTATTTTATTGAGCTTAAACAATTTTAGTAGAAGAAAATGTGCCCGCAACGTTATGCTCAGATCTTGTGCGTTTAATACTGATGGTAAAAATTTAATTTATCCTATAGAAATTGATAAGACCATGTTAGGAATTCTTGGATATTAATTTTTACTGCACATTTGGCGGTCGCAATACGGTGATGCAAATCGACCCTCGTAGTATTCTCAGTAAGTCGATTACTTCGGGTGTTTTCATCGATGTAACGTTTTCATCGTTGACCTGTAATAAATAAAAATATTTGTGATTTAATTATTATTATATTTGTATTGAAAACATAATTCGGTATTTTTTTTTAGTTTACTTCAATAAATTTTTATGAATATTGTGTGTATTTTTATTTGATACCTATATAAAGTAATTTTAAGGGTAAGATTATTATACGTATATATGATTAAGTTATATTAGGTATATACTAGTTTTTGCTTAGCGTTCCGATAGTTATATAAAACATATATGTTCAGGATAAATCCTAAAGAGCTAAAGTTTAGATTAGTTCAAATCACACAAATATAATCACAGATTGTCACAAAAGTAACAACTAACAAACACACACATTCGCTTTAATCACAAACATTTTCTTATATAATATTAGTGTGATTTGACAATATAAGTTAATATAATAAAAAGCAACATCCTAAAACCAAATAATACACAATGTGTATAACTAGTAATTAAGATATAATGTAGTGATTGTTTCGTTTAAAAATTTAACTCTAAAATTAAAATTTAAAACCTTCAACAAAATAACCTATTAATTGAGGCAATTTCAAGGTGTCTAAACATAATATCTCTGCAGTATTTTAGTAAAGAGTTGAGTATCTTCAGATTCCAAGTGGAAATGTGGCATCAGGCCTCGGTAACCATATCATTGCAATGTCATTAATGATTAAAGTAACGGAATACCAAGTTTCAAATCGATTAAATCTATGGAAGTTGTTCATATCCTTTTACCGTCAAGAAAAAAGTCTTAACAATATAGTCTGCAAACGGCTGAACGTATTTTCTTGATTTATGGCTACACAAACACAGTCGATCAAGTCACTTTTCAAACAAAAACACTAAATTAAAATCGGTTCATCCGTTTTGGCGTTACGATGCCATAGACACGCATAGATTCACACGTTTTTGTAACTCCTCTTTTTGCGTCGGGGGTTACAAAAAGTAAATAAAAATACCTGTAGTATGACGTCACCGCGCTGCAGCCTGCCGTCGCGCGCGGCGACACTATCGCTGTAAACGGCAGAGATATAACTCTGGCCCGAGTCCGGGTGGCTCTGGACGCTAAACCCCAGCCTGCTGTTCCAGCCGCGGTTCAGTTCCACTGTCACTATCTGTTCATGCCAACAGGGAATCTAGTATATAGGTACGCTTTAACGCTTTCGTATGAAATACAAATGTTTGAATTTCTCGACTTTTCTGTACTATAATATGCATGTATTTTATATATAAACCTTCCTCTTGAATCACTCTATCTATTAAAAAAACCCGTATCAAAATCCGTTGCGTAGTTTTAAAGATCTAAGGACAGACAGACAGCGGGAAGCAACTTTGTTTTATACTATGTACTAATCATGCTTTACAATACAATAAAGTAAAGCACACGGTAATTAATTAATGTAGCCCCTCTACAAGTACTTTGAAGTATGTCATGTGTTGAGTAAGAAAATGACCTATATTCAAGTGCTACCACAGCCCACTACTACACTACTTTGGTAGTAGATTCTTGCAACTGGTTTAGTGGGTAGTACTGGCTCTTCTGGCCGCTGAGTCCTACAACTATGTACAGTGGTGCAGTTGAAATGCGTAAATGCATTTCTCAACGTTAAAGAAATAATAAGTGCTATAAGTATCATTTAATCCATTTTGCTTTACACGTTATTTGTCATAATAATTTTAACATTCATAATATTATTAGGAGTAGCATTGCCCGCGGCTCCGCCTGCGTTCAGATGACCAAAAACCAAATTCTTAGGTTTCACATATGCTCTTACATTGCAGTTTTTGTATTTTTTTTCAGAAATGAGAGATTTTCCCGCGGTAAAAAGTATCTTATATGTTGACTCGGATAACCAGCTATCACCATACCAAATTTCATCAAAATCCCTCCATTGGTTTTTCTGTGATGCGGTAATAGACAGACAGACAAAAAATCTAAAAACTATAGATTCGGCCTCTGTATCGATAATAATGTTTTCCAAAAAATATTTAATGTATAGATTTGGCTTAGTTACAATTTTATTATATGTATAGATATATTTTTGTGTGTACCTATAATGGATTAAACTTGTGTATCGCATTATATTCGTTTCTATTTTACACATTATTCAAAGGAAATATTTATATTTAAATTCTATATTCAAAATAATTTTGAAAGAAATATTTACGACGCAGAGACGGACAGAATAAGGTTTGTATTTTATCTGTAAAACCTTGATAAATTAATTACTAAATAATAAAATTAATTCCACAATCGCATTGATTGAATTATATTTATCCAATCACAAAACCAATATTTAAACTACTGGTACTATTACCACAAAGTATGTATATAAACATATATTTCAATAATAGAGTACTCTGCAGTGTGAGTTACTCATCAGAGTCAATAAATGTTGAAATTTTAAAAAGTAATCCGGCTGGTTGAACACAAAAGGAACGACTCATGCACAAACAACAGAGTGCTGCTACTTCAGTCTAACTTTATTGTATAAAATGTCGAGACAAAAGTATTGTTCTATCTAAAAAATTAAACTATTTTTCGAATTCGAAATGAAATAAACAAATCAGCAATTATTAATTAGAAAGTATATTATGTGTTTTTTATTAACAAGCTGCGCTATAATGTTAAAGCATTTACAAAATCCAGTAGGAGTAGTTGTAACGAAATCCGTCTGAAAATTATTAGTCTATACGCAATCGATAGCAAAATACAATACATACTAATATTATAAATGTGAAAGTGTGTTTGTTTGTTTGTTTGTTTGTTTGTTTGTTTGTTCTCCTTTCACGTGGAATCGGAATGAGGGATTGGCGTGATTTTTAGTTAGGAGATAGTTGGTTGGTTTGTAGTTGGCTGGAGAGTGACATAGGCTACATTTTACCGCGGGAGATTATTTCATTCACACGGGAAAACACGTTATAATGCAACACAGAAATATATTTATGATCAGATTTTCTTGAAACTCGGTATTAATGCTTTTCAATACAATTAAATAAATATGTGTTTTAGCATTTTTCAGAATTCATCCCGTTAGGGTATAAAATAGGGGATGAAAGTTTGTATGAAACCTAACTTTTTAGAGGTTTTTTGTAGTTTTAGCGCGAGCGAAGCCGCGGTTTCTGCTAGTAAATGATATAACCATTAAGTTAACATAGAAACATTTTTCATCACTCATTTCTTTGAAATACTTCAAAACATTTTTAATTATCTGTCTTTCAAATGGACTTACTTACGCCTTCACAATTTAATTACTGTATATTAATTTTACAATAAAATAAATGTCAGCTTCTATTCGAATTACTTCGCTTGAATGTCTACTATTTTTCCTTTCTAAATTAATTATATTTTTAACTAGCGACTCACCCTTGCTCTGCTCGGGGCCTTCACTACTTACGTTTCAAGGTTTAGTATAGATTTCTCAAAGATGAGATATTTTCCCGCAGTAAAAAGTATCCTATATATTAACCAAATGCCATCAAAATCCCTCCAGTGGTTTTTACAGACAAAAATTCTAAAAACTATAGATTCGGCCTCTATATTTCGATAATAATGTCTATTTTAATAAGATTTTCCAGAAAATATTTAATGTACAGATTCGGCTTAGTTACAATTTTACTATATGTATAGATCCACAACAAATAAGACATATATGTAGATGTTATAATTTTGAACTGAAATTTGACATATATACACTTTCGTGATATTAAAATAACTGATATATCGCATAGACCTTTTGTGACGCGGGAGTCGGATGGTGACCATTAGAACTCAATTATTTTACAATTAGGTAATAAATAAATATTTTTAAAATGGTATTTTACGTTTTTAATTAGATAAAGCTTACCGTAGGTTCTGTGCTTGGTGCTTCCACCGGTGGTTCAGGTTCGACGTTTTCCTTTTGGACGGGTTCAATCTCTTTAGGTTTCGGTGGAATTTCTCCTGGAATTGGTTTGGCTTTTCTCTCGTTGTCCGGGGACAACGCAACTCCTTTCCATTTCTTTAAACCATTACCTGTAATTTGTAGTGATAGAAAAATAAATAAAAAATAAACAAATAAATGGTTAAGTACTAATTAATAGTTCATTACATTACTTAAAAAAAATTACATTTTTATGCACTGAACTTTACAGACGAAAGCAATAGTATAAAGTCAGTGTAGCATTTCTATTCATACATTTTATAAGAAACATCCAATCCACCAAGAATTCAAACATAAATATATTATTAGTCGTCTCAACATCGCAAATTCTGATCCCTTGTAGAGCAAATATGTGTATTTGTCTTGGTCTTGTTAAGACAAAACGTGACTCTCAATAAAGACGAAAAGAGGAAATTGGATTGTTATATTACAAGATTTTCTTTGTTTGACAGAGACACTTATAATAAAAATTGTAATAAATAATCACCGTCATCCTTATGTCCATCAGAAGCACTTTCGCTAGTAGTGGTTGTTGTATGCAAAACTGCACTCTGATACGCTGGGCTCGAATGTTTGAAGCGTTCATCGCTTGATAGTTCAGCGGGCATCGATACCGGCTCGTCCGAATCTACTGGGAACGCGGGTTCAGTAAACCTCTGTAGGGTTATATCTTCCTGGTACACGTTTGGAGCATCCAGTGTGTCATTGTCAAGGTTATTTAATTCGTAACCGTGTGGAGGTACTGAAAATTTTGAATGTATGTGTGAGTAGTGAATTATCTTAAAATATTTTATAGGCACAAAAAACTTATTTTTTTCTATTTATCGGAATTTGGTGTTATAATTTCTCAATTTTATTCATAATATATAGGTAGATACATATTAGAAAATTTTACTGTTTAGATTTTAAAAATATTTTTTTTGATAATTTTTCTTTCATCAAATTTTATTGTTTTCAAGTTTTATTAAATTATCGTTTATTGCAAAAATTTAATTTATTGATAAATTGAAAGACAAGTTACAAATTTCGCTATATTTACTGCTTTTCCTACATTTTTTTCCATTATAAGTGACAGATAAGGAGCTGTTTAATATTATTTAAGCGATATATGTTTATGAAAACAAACGAAAAAAATCGATATGTATTATTTATAAGCATTATAAACGTATTACATACTAACATGGATAAAATATATTCTTTAAAAGTATCAATTTTACATGATGGCATGACTCTACTCTATTATATTTCTCTACTTTCCGCTTAATTAAGCAACACCTTGTGAGTGACAGGCGTATGGCGATTTTGTTCCAATATTCAGATATAGACAAATAAGTTTATGCTGAATGTAAATATTTGTTCTTAAATATCTTCTGGGAATCGAATCCGCGGCGGTAGTCTACGAGTAGATTTTTTGAAGCAGACCTTTTATATATATTTTTAGTACAGTAATGATTAGGTACAGTTACACATATTTCACACAATCTATTCTAAACCAAACCGTGATGAGAGAGTTTTAATGTATGGCTTACTATTAAACATACATTCGATACACTTTCTATAGTGCGTGATTGGGAACATGCGTGTGCACGCGAGCTTATGTGGAATATTACACGTTTACCTATACTCTCTCCAACTTTTCCATGTTTCAAAGTTTCATAATATGACAATAATACTTACAAAACAAATATATAAAACAGTTACCTTTTGCAAAGTTCTCAAGAGAGTATTTCTATATACGACAAACATATGTAGCAAGTGTATACTTAAAGTAAATACGAGCTTATTATAATATATGGTAAAACGATTAATATATTTAAAAATGTTTATTATTTACTTACGAGGCATGACAATAACTTGATTAATTATTATGGTGTAATAATAGAAATTGCAGGGTAAGCCGTTAACTACACTAATAAGTCGATGGTGTTAGTTCGAAAAGGTGAGTAAGTTTCGACTATAGTGCTGCTTTATGGGTTTGTCCAAAGCATAGGTAAGTACAGAATCCTTCAGACCGTCAATTTGCTGTTTTGGATCAGTGTAAAGGTACTAACTAGCTAGAAACGGTTGTTGTTTCAAAAACAATTAGCAAAACAAATCGTAAATATTAAAATAATCAGTTAAATTAAAAATTATATTAAATTGATTTTTGCAGTTTATACTTTATTAAAAGAATTTATATAAATAGAATTATCCCACTTTAAGAAAAATAGATTTTCTTAGAGTAATATATTAAGAAACAACAATAGTTTTTAGACAGTATACAGGCACAGGCTAAATACGGATATGGTATACGAGTATAGTGCGAGCCGACAGAGTCTCACCTGTCAGGCTTAGCTTTTGTTTTCTACAAGACGGCGGGGCCGTGGGACTTGTGAGTGTAACAGAACGAGGCCGCTTCAATTCTTCAATAATTATAACATCCGAGTTATTAGATTCTATATAATCTAATAATGGTTGTTCCATGGTTGCTGATCTTTCCATGGTAGCGCGACGGTCTAACGTCGAGCGTTCCGTCCCCGATATATCGGTCGGACAGTCGATGGTTTGGGAACGCTTGAAGTTCTCAATACGCTTTGAGTGTGTGTCTAGCTTTACGTTGCAACTTGGCAAATCTGTGCGGAAAACCTACTAGCTTAGACATTGCGTGGTTATAGTGGTGCAGTGTTAGTGTCTCTATTTATATAGCCGTTGTAAACGCTATACAATTACAACGAGAACGATTAGGAGATATCGCAAAATATGAAGAAGTCAAATATTTTAATATTTCAATATCTTTTTCATTAAAACAATTCGAAACAAATTAAACAAATAATACTGCTTACTTTATAACTTGTTTTGAATTGCAATATCCTCTAATACCTCATCCAATAGATTATTATTATATTTACGTCAACATATATAGGCACATTTTCGTTAGCATTACATAATTGTGCAAGAAAAACACATTTACATAATATATTTACATATATACAAATATTAATACAATTTCTAACCCTTGCACATTAGTACAAAATAAGATATTCGTGTGGAATATTGTTAACTAAAATTCATTAATTTAAATCACTAGCCGGCACTACTTGTTCGGTCGCCGCAGTATTTACGATTGTTAGCTAAAATTTATGCACAATAGAATTCTACCAGCTTAAATTAATTTATTGCATTGTTTCTGACAGATATGGGTATTTATAATAATAAATCGGCTATTGCCCCGATATATCTATTTTGTGCGCCATAAAGCTGAGTTTAGAAATGTGTAGGCGCTTGGATGTTATTTAATTTAACATATTTGTATATATTTACAAAGTTTTATAGAAACAATATATATTTCTCTACAATTTAGTCAAAAAAATCGCATTTATTTTCATGTATATTATATAGCTATCAGACTCTTGGCGCAAATATTTACCTATTCCTAATTATAGAGCCCGCTTAGAACGGGAAATACAAAAGCTAGCTTTAAACCTACTGAGCCGATTGAAATAAAAATTATCATTATTTTTAAACCCAGACAACTATAAAAATACAGTCATTTGTTGAGCTTCAATTTTTTTTTCGAAACAGTTATATTTGGCAAAGATACGCATTTTTAATAGTTGGTATACAAATCAAGTAGTTCTCCTTATTACTGTGTTACATGTTTAATAAATATAAATTATTGTTTTTTTATAAATTGAACACTAAACTAAAATAATATTAATATTTATTTAGTCCAACCATTGTTTTCTTTCCATTACATAATTAATTTAAGAGCTTTAATATTTTAACAGCTTATGTAGCTATAATTCAAGGGAAAATAGAACAGCATTCATTAAAATAATATTTCTAGGAATTAACATTTCAAATTCATTTCATTTATAGGTAAAATTCGTTATAATTTACTTACTGTTAAATTTCAATATAAACAAATCGAGCAACAGGTAAAATATGATCACATCGTAAATATCTCGTTTGACTATTACAAGCTCTATACCGAAAATTTCCAAATATACATATATATGATAATAGCAAACTATTTATTTAATAATATTCCTAATAATATATACGTTTATAATAAAATATTCTTACCATTGGGTGTTTCATAATGGTTATCCTTAGTAAGTTTTCTATGTTTACGGGGAGATAGGCAGGGGGAGCGTGAGCCATCGCCCGCGTCGGGTGTGAGACGACGTGCGGCTAAGTCGCATAACATTGACACTGCTTCAGCTCTGTATATAAAAAGTTACCAACAAACTGTTTATATTAGATAAACTAGGATAAGTAGTTATATTTGTTTGTGTTAGATTTACGCGAATATTCTATACATATAATAAAATTGTAACTAAGCCAAATCTGTACATTACATATTTTTTGGAAAATCTTATTGAAATAGACATTATTATCGATACAGAGGCCAAATCTATAGTTTTCAGAATTTTTGTCTGTCTGTCTGTTACCGCATCACGGAAAAACCACTGTAGGGATGTCGCGGTTTTGTTTTATATCAATACTACCAGACCCGGTCACGCGTTGTTGTGGCACACATATGAAAATCGTTAATTTTGCAATAACGAGAGGGAATAATTGGGATAAAAACTATCCTATTCTTTACGTTGGAACAAATCACACATTTTGAAAAAAAAAATACGTTCAGTTCGGGTAAGTAGTTTCGGAGTTTATCTCGGACCAACATCGCGACACGGGAATATTATATATAAGATATTAGTAGGTACGTATTAAGGTAGTAGTTTATGCTACTCAGGAATATCATTATTTTTAAGAAGGGCGGGCGTACATAATTTTAAATCCGGAAATAGCTTTATATTGTAAATATAAATAAGACAAATGCATAAGATAATATAAATTCAATGCTTTTGTGAATTACTTATATATTTTAGTTATTCTTAAAAATTCAAATTATAACCCATTAAACCTTTAAAATATCGTTGGAAAAATAATTAACTTACAACATGCTCTAGTAATTCGTAGGTCAGAAAAAGAACTGTTATTTTATTTAATATTAATAAATAGAACAATAACTTTTGAAGAAATATAAAAGAAAAGAACTTATTTTTAATTTGAAACTAAGATTGACTTATTAAATCAACAATTCCTTGGAAGACATTTAAATATGTATGTGTATAAAAACCAAATTTTACACGTAAAAGAAATATTTGCAACATACCTTAAAGGTGGTTTAGGCCTACTGACAGGTCCGTCAGAGTCAGTGGGTCCTTCTTTGGGCGACATCGGCGACAGCGGTGTAGCGGCGTGGTCGCGATACAGTCGCAGGCGCACTTCAGAGCCGCACGCGCGGAGAAACGCGACTGCTTCCGCGTGCGACATGTTAGACATTGGCGTATCGTTCACCTGTACACATACATTTCATGATTACCGATTAGTATCCCGTGAGAAAGGTTCAATGATTTACAGTAGTTTGACACTCTTCTGTTCAGAAAGAATTTCTGTAAGAAGTCTTTATAAAATATAAAAAAAATATCTATCCTAGTGTGCGAAAAGACAGAGAAACATTTAGAAAAATTGTTTCATCTTTACTTTGGTTTATGACAATTGAATAACATAAAAAGTGGAACACAAACGTTTTTATGGTATAAAATTAGAAAGAGGTGATATAAATTTAAGAAATTAAAAATGTTATTGTTTACAAAGTACTTAGTTTTGGTTCATACTTATTTAATTTATTAAAAAGTTGTATATTGAGGAATACTCCATAATTATTGTAACATAGTGTTCTAATGTTAATGGGATTTTATTATTATATTGTGTTTGACAATAATCCAAACTTATAATATAGATAAAATTTTAGGAAAATCGAATATTAATCATTATTTTCGTGGACCAGAACGGTAAATTTAAATACAGCCAAAAGCGAGTGGTTTTAAAAGTTTACAAAATACATACAGCAACTATTCTATCTCCCGGTTGTATTCTACCGTCGCTCAGCGCCGGCTCTCTGACTAAAGCCCGCACGTAGTGCCCGAGGGCGCTGTGATCTTCTTTCCTCAGTGTAAAGCCAAGCGATCCGTTCACTTTTGTCATTATTATGTCGAATTCCTGAAAAATATTGTCATGTTACAAAAAACTACAGGTTATCTATATTTATTGTATTGTTAAAATAAATATATACGGTACTAATAAGAAAAATTCAATTTTTAAATTGTTTGTCTGTCTTCTTGTCTTTTTGCTTCGGCTAATCTCCGAAACGGCTAAAGTGACTTTCACGTAGCTAGGGACGTACCCGAGCGAAGTGAGAGTGAGTCGCTAGTATGTAATACAATTGTGCCATGGTTTAGGATCTAGTAAATATTAGTCTTATAATAATTTCATTATGTTAGAATCGTCTGCTTCGCTTGGATCTCAAAATTAAATATTTGATTAATGATTACATAAATAGCGGTCTTTTCTTATATTAAGAAGGTGGTTTTATGTTCAGAAATAGACTTAATAAATAAGATAAAAATATACTAAATAAATGAAAGAATACAACATTCTTGCATCACATTTTATCACAAAGTACACAATGTGCATATATATATATATATATCGTTACGTTTATTTGTACATAATATCAAGTTTGCAAGCAGTCTAACAAGTGTATCTGAAACTTGCCTGTCTCAAGCCTTTGTAATGGGATTACTGTGTATATTTACATATTATATTACATACTGCACGGAATACTCACCACGGATCCGTCATCCTTTGAAGCGTAAACACAGAGTCTTATTAGGAATACGGGAAGAACTATTATAAAAGCATATTTTACATCGACTATAATATTTAGCTATAATTATATAGAAATAAAGGAGTTGGTTACTTGTTACATTGTTTGAAATTACTATAGAACAGCAAAAAATGATTACATGATTTAACTTAGACCTTAAACTCAAGTATTGAGTAATAATAGCGTGAACTAGAGAAAGAACACATCTTACTTGATCTAGCTGTTGAAATAGCCAAATATTTGTATTTACATAGGTGGTAGCCCATATTATATTATAAACACAAAATAACAATAGTAGAAACTTATTTACATAAATCCGACAATTAATTATGTATTTTTAAGCACTTTTATTAATTTCTGGTTTGTGAATACAATTCTACAAAAACTATCCAGTGATATACCGATTCGTATATCGCGCCAGCTCGAGAACAAATAAAGGCAACTTGACAAAAAGCGTCTTGACAGCTTGATATAGTCACAGATTAATTATTATCAAATATCAAAATAGTGGATTTGTTCCTATTATATATTATTTAATAAATTGAACATTACACAACCATGTTTATTATTAAAACATGAAAGACGTATCCACGGAGCAAGATACGCGATGAAATACCATTGTGTCAGCCATTATAATATTATTATTTCATTTATGACGAAGCGTGATTTATACTTTTGTAACCTAACACAATATGTCCTTAATTATGTAAACTGAACCAGTGACACTCGATAACCGCTGAATAAATGATACGATAGATCAATATGCAAGTCAACTGTGGTGAACGAATTAATGAAACCAAATTACTGTTACGTTTTATAGTTCTACGCTTTACTGATACTTTTTAAATCTGTATTAAACTCTATTAAAGATTTAAATAATAGGAAAATGTATGTAAATTGCGGCAATTTCAGTATAATTGTGGCATATTAACTTTTATCAAGATGACTATTTACGGAATCGCTAGAGGCAAATGGATTTAATCGTTGCTTAAGCTATAATTTTCTTTTCTTTTCAAAGAAATAAGATAGTAGATAACAGTGTTGTAATTCAAGGTATGCTAAAAGTTTATATATATTTTTATAAGACAGTGTGTCCTGAATATACACATTAGTCACGTAGTGAAGTCCCTCTCCAAGTAAGATCTCTCAACTAGCTTACTTAGTGCCACCTAACGACTAAAGAGCTTAAAGTGTTTGATCTACATATTAACTATTCACGTGTTTATTTCAGTGCTTGAAGGACTCGGAGTTGAGTAAGTTAGTTAGTTAAAGTTCTAATCATAGCCAACTGCAAGTAATATTATACGTAACACTTACACCGTATTGTATATCGTAGACTGGTAAAGGTCTGTCAAGATCTGGTAGATGTAAGTCCTGGGTCCTCCTATCCTCCGGACTAGCTTCACGCCTTCCTCTCCCTTCTGATGACGATGTTGTTGCGCTGCTTGTGGTTTGTGAAAGTCTATATAATAAATTTATATAAGAGTTCTAATGTCAAGTGAACTGATTACTGTTATTGTGGTTCAGAGGTGTATTCAGAGTATAAACTCTGAATACTTCAGGTTTAAGCAGATTTAGGTCTTCGTATAGCTTATAATTTATTAATATTGAATTTGTAAAATTATATTCAAATTCATAAGATTTCGATATAAAATTTTCCTGCAATTTACGAGGTATCTTTATATAGTATAAAATGAAGTCGCTTCCGCTGTCTGTTCGCTTAGAATTTTGAAACTACTCAACGGATTTTAATGCAGTTTTCAGCAATAGATAGAGTTATTCAAGAGGAAGGTTTATATGTATAATACATGAATACTATAGTACAAAAAAACCGGTAAATTACAAGATTTGTATTGTGCTATTACATTGTCTACCTAGATTTGGAATAACATCGTAAATGTAAGCATTAATAAATGCCTCATCTACTTAAATAAAATGCCGTGTTCAACGGAAGCTTTCACTATAAATTAACTACTATATGAAAGCTCAACTTAATTCATGACTTATATACTATGTAATGATTATAAAATATTTAGTATTTGCATTTCATTGTTTATTTTTATTTAGTAGTCACAATGTTGAATAAAAACAAATACGAAGTTTTTACTGTAGGTAGGTTACGAAGAAGTTGTTAATTTCTAATTAGCTACGTATGTGAAAAGCTTTTACAATTGCAGGAATGAAACTGGATTATTCAGGCCGGGTTTCCCACAGTGGGAAATTTCACTCGGTTCGTGACATTTTCTGTAACTCCACGTTAACAGACTTGTGGGCCGTTGCTATTACTGAGTTGGAGTGAGAATATTTCAGTGACATAGATAAACTGGGTTGAAATAGTATTTTCTATATAATATTATATTTTATGAAACGTAATTTAACACCTCCAGGTAAATTTCTAAGAAATTAATTAAACTAAGGCCGCCTAGGCACGCCGGCGTGTCGTCGGTCGTGGAGGGATTATAAACTAAAATAAATATATAGGTACCTTACTTTAAATTATCTTTTTCGTTGTGGTCCATCAAGTATTAGTATATCATTTGTTAATACATACAAAATAGTTATTAGACTTCTAAATGACGGATCAGATTAGCGAAAAGCTGTTTAGTTTACTTTTACACACCAATGGGTTTTGTTTACACATTTCACAAATTTATTTAGATAAAACGAAAGTATATTAAAATTTTAATCTTGCTTTAATATTTGTCAAAATATCTAACTTTATTTATATAGTTTAGATATAATTTTAGATTTTGTGTCCATATATTAAAAGCTTGTTTCATAATTCCAAGAAATATTTAATCTGGCAAGCCATTATTACTAGAGATAAATGATATATTTTTATTGAATTTATACCTCAAATTCGAAGTTAGGAAACTCGGTTTATAAAAAGCTACTTAAATTGATAACATTTAGCTTAGTAATTGTGAAAATGAAGTCGGTTTAATATTAATGGAATACCCCATGTTGAATAACAAGCATGAATATTGGATATAAAATGCTTTTTGCTGTAGCTTTATTTTATTTGCGTAACTCAAGAATACCAATTTCCTGACTTTTAATGGAGTATCCGAGATACTTCATTGTACGAGAAAAGTTCGTTGTTAAGGATAGGTATCGATTGGCGAGTGAGCGTGACATATCCGGACATGGAAAGTTTTACTGGTTGCTTTTGTTGCAGTTATATCATCAATTCTCTATTAATTTATTCTCTTTGTATACGACTTATTCAGCGTTATTTATTCAATTTAAAAATACATTACAAAAAGTTTTCAATTAGGTACGATGAATTGCTTGGAAATACATATATCGAAAGGCACAATTTTATTTACAAGAGGATCAATAGCCTATACACGTTATGATAAATGAACAGAAACAATCGTCTCTCAACACTATTTCGGTGACAACAACCAAATAACGGCGTGTAAGCCTTCAACAAAGCGCGCCTCATAGCTCAACTTCACAATGGACTGCATGTTACGAACGCTACAAATGCCTTTGCTGTATGGACTCCGTTCACTGACGGCATTTAACAACTTCCTACACTTTTAATTGTACAAAGAATACTAGAACATTCTTCCAAGATTTTAAGTCTAGGCAGTCAAGTTGAGGACTAGTATTTGAATTTGGTATAAAATTAAAAAAAAAATTAACGATTTTGAAGTGCTGGTTTTAAATCATGTTGGTTACACTTCACATAATTAACAGACTTCAAAATAAATCAAATGTGTGATGTTTTTTATCAAAAAAATCCATGAATATTTCCTACTTGTTCGGTCGATGTATTTTTGATTCCAAAAAGTCTTTATATTTTTATTTATACTTTTAAAATTTACCCTTAAATTTGATATTAAGGTTTTTTTGAGAATGGTAGTTTTGTTACTAATAAAGTAACTAGGTATATATATATATATTATGTATGTAATTGATTATTATTTTTTATTTAGTAGAATGCGTAGAATAAATTATTTTAAACGTTATCAATCTTCAGTGAATATCGAGTTGTGATCTCACCTCGCATGTAACGGATGGCAGTTGAGAGGATCGAGAAGCAGGTGTGGGTGAGGAGTTCTGGCTGGAGGGGTCGGGGGGTCCGGCGGCGTCACGCTCTCGAGGACGTCACTCGGGGGCCGGCACACCCGTAGTTCCACCCTTGTTGACGCCGTGCGAAGTACTTCGAGAGCCTCCTGTTTAGAATAATGTAAATAATGTTTAATACTGTTATGAGTATTTACAACTATAATGATAATTTTATTATAATATTATTACTAGCGAGTAGAGAAACTTTTTCTAGTGGTAGGAGAGCTGATTAGCGTCCGGCAAAATAGCCAGCCGCGACCTAAAAAAGCACTGGGAGAGAACCATGCGAGTTGCTCTAGGTACTTTTTTGATGGCAGAGGAAACTGTTGGAGCAACCCCATGGTTGTTGTGGTCGACACGGCAGGCCTGCCATCGGGGCGGTGTGGTGGGGTGCGTAAACAATTCTGCGAAGCTCTATTAAGACGGGGGAAGGTTTTGTTGGGTTTTAGTGGGTAATACTGGCTCTTCTTGCCGGCGAATCTCACATAACCACTTGAATGTAAGCAGGTGGTATGTGTAAATGTATTTCCCAACATCAAAAAAAGGTTATAGTCTATGTGTATACGAAATTTTATTCAAATTCATCCAGTCGTTTCGGCGTGAAGTAGCAACAAACATATGTGTGTAAACACACAAACTTTCACAATTTTAATTATAGTCAGGCAAAATATCCCTATAATTTACAGGATTGTTATATACGTAGCTTTAAATTTTTTTAGAGTTATTTTCCCTTTTGCCAGACGCTGTCGCTGTATCTCTTAACGTATATCTTTCGTTGAATAAAATTTTTGTGAAAATATTTGTTCTTTAAGTAGGTATTTAATCTTGTAAAACCATTCTGTAGAAAATTTTATTCCAGCGTGGGAGGTTCCATTTTTAGATAGGTACGTAAGTATTCAAGATATTAAGTTAATTTATTATGATTTATACATGTCTCATATTAATATAGAAATTTAATCTAGCTAAAAATGGTGAACGTTTTCCACGCCTATATCATACGCCTATATACTTTACGTCTCCAAATACAACGTTGTAAAAATTTTGTAGCTTTGTAGCGGAAACAAGTACAAATTCACGTTTCGTTCGTGACGTAAATAACGAAATAATGTTTTACCAACGATTGAAACCAAACTGCCTAAAAAAGGAGCTGATATTAGTTTCCCTCGCTTTGGCCAAGGGCGTGCTTAATAGCTTAGCCAAACCGAGGTTATTGAAGCAATAAGCCATTTTGTGGGAATGTGAGTATCGATCGGGCATACGTCAGACGGTTGTTGTGGTGCTTTAAACCTCTTTCATAAAAGATATAATAAAAATTTATATCATTATTTATTCTAATAAGTTTAACGAAACTCCAACACACAATATATGAATATTAAACATAGGAAAATAATTTTGAATATAGCCAGCGTTATTCAAAATTATATTCCCATGTTTTAAAGGTTATAATAGTTAATTTACCTCATATTTAGTATCGTCTTTGACACCCACCAAACTAGTAAAAGCTTCGTTAAAGACCGTTTGTAGCTCAGATGTTCATCCATTTTGCGAGTGTAAACTATCCTTGAATAAAGTTTATTCCCTAATTAAATAGAGAGCAGTAATTAAGGCTAGAGTTTCTAGACTAATACTAACATTGAGGACAGTTGTGTTAGAAGCTAATTCGGTGGGACAAAGGAGACCATCTATTTTTCAAGTGACACTAGCAGCGGTTTTCATCTTTATTTATTCGCTTTCTGTAGCTTATCGAAGTGTCAAAAGCGTATAATCTATATATATAATAAAATTGTAACTAAGTCGAATCCGTACATTAAATATTTTTTGGAAAATCTTATTGAAATTGACATTATTATCGATATAGAGTCCGAATCTATAGTTTTTAGAATTTTTGTCTGTCTGCCTTTCTGTCTGTCTGTCTGTTACCGCATCACGAGAAAACCACTGGACAGATTTTGATGAAATTTGGTATGGTCATAGCTGATTATCCGGGTCAACATATAAGCTACTTTTTACCGCGGAAAATATCTCATTTCTGAGATAAATACAAAACTGCAACGTTATAGTAATATGTAAAACCTAAGAATTTGGATTTTGGTCATCTGAACGCGAGCGGAGCCGCAGGCAACACTAGTAGTTAGATATGACTTAAAGCTTTGTGTGCCTGATCTGACCCTACCGCTGTAGACGTTCTTGTTAAGACGCAAAATAATTGATAGGAGAACAACATTTCTTATGATTTGTACACGAGTATTTCTTTGAATTTCTTTTAAGTATAGCGACTTTTATTTGAAGCAACTATTGTGTAGCAACCTAATTGGGTAAAAATATAGAATTTTTAGTCGAATACTTTGGTATATAAAAGAAAAACAAAAACTTACCAAAATACTAAATAAATATATCAACTTTTAACCTATTCCTTATTAACCTTACAAATGATATATAGTATACTATATGTATGTATATGTACTGGTACTAAGTTCTAATAAAACATGATATAAAAGAGCAGGTTCAAAGTTTTATGCAAGATATATGAAATATAATTGAATTCCGTTGACTTAGTAACATTTTATAACGCATCGATTTTCCCATTCACTGAACGGTTGTTTTATGTTAAATCGATTCTGCTTTTTGTTTGCTTTCACCCTATGAAAATACAATTACGGGTAAATGTGCCAGTATGCAGGAAAATATATTTTAAATGTTTTGTTTGGCTAAAAATTAAACTCCCTTTTTCATATTACGTATCGTTTTATTATTAACGTAATAAATCCCATTAATATTATAAATGCGAAAGTTTGAATGGATGGATGTTTTTTACTCAATCACGCCAGAACGGCTGAACAGATCTGAATGAAATTTAGCACAGAGATAAAGTATAGTCTGGTATTCCAGACTAAACCTAAACCCATGTGCTATTGCACATTAGTTACTTTTTATCTCAGAAAAATGTACGGTTCCCGTGGGATAATTTGTTTTTATTTTTCACAGAAGAAGGGATCGAGTACCTATTCGATATTAACTGTTAAATAGTATATAGGGAGTTACACGAGCGAAGCGAGGGTGAGTCGCTAGTCTATACATATAGTAAAATTGTAACTAAGCCCAATCTGTACGTGTACATTAAATATTATTTGGAAAATCTTATTGAAATAGACATTATTATCGATACAGCGGCCGAATCTATAGTTTTTAGAACTTTTGTCCGTCTGTTACCGCATCACACAAAAACCACTGGAGGGATTATGATGAAATTTGGTATGGTGATAGCTGTTTATCCGGGTCAACATATAGGACTTTATACCGCGGGAAAATATCTAATTTCTGAGAAAAAATACAAAAACTGCAATGTAAGAGTATACTAATACCTATGTAAAACCTAAGAATTTGGTTTTTGCACATCTGAACGCGGGCAGAGCCGCGGGCAATGCCAGTAACAAATAAATAAAGAATACTACATGTTTTTTATAGTTTTTATACTGAATCAAGATTGTAGTGTCTTCTTTATAAATGTTATAAGAAAAGATATTCACTTAGCACAAGTATGTTTGTTAGGAAAAAACAGCTTGTTTTCAATGAATTCCGAAGTTTCTTCGCTCGCGTTATCTGCGACATGTGTTTACAGCTCTGACTCGTGCACATTGTGAGACAAAGTTTTCCAATGTTGGAATACCATTCGATACGTGCTAAGGAACTAGGATTTTAGTACTATAACAGTCCTACGGCTTTGCTTGATTTACATATTGTATTTTAATAATTGATGTTTGATTTTGTCAAAAATAGTGTGCATATTGATCACTTTTTCTTATTTCAATGCTAGTAGAGATACTAGCATTGCCCGCGGCTCCGCCCGCGTTCAGATGACTAAAAACCAAATTCTTAGGTTTTACATATGTATTAGTATACTCTTACATTACAGTTTTTGTATTTTTCTCAGAAATGTGATATTTTTTCGCCGTAAAAGGATTCTATATGTTGACCCGGATAACCTGCTATGATTATACCAAATTTCATCAAAATCCCTCCAGTAGTTTTTCTGTGATGCGGTAACAGACAAAAAAAATCTAAAGATTCGGCCTCTGTTTCGATAATAATGTTTATTTCAATAAGATTTTCCAAAAAATATTCAATTTACAGAGTCGACTAAGAGTTTTATTATATGTTTTCATTGTGCACCGCAATATCGGTAAATAATGGCGGTGATTGACAATGCCACAAAGGTTCCTCCGTTAATCTCATATTTCATATAGTAATATTGCACTTTTTAGACGAAAATTCTAAAAACTATAGATTCGGCTTCTGTATCGATAATAAAGTCTATTTAAATAAGATTTTCCAAAAAATATTTAATGTACAGATTCGGCTTAGTTACAATTTTATTGTATGTATACATTGCATGTATGTAATTCATATGTGAAAATGTTAAACACAAATAAAAAAACAAATGTAAAATTCTATCATTAAATGTTATATCAACCGTTAGTCATTATTACACATATATATACAAACTCTTTTAAAAAAACTTTTCAATGTAAATACTTACTTTATAAATTATACGTAATATTAAGCAAATATAATTTTGCCATATATAAATGTAGAACGCCATACAAACTACGACCTAGTTCAAGTGGAGGCTCCCTTATAATAAAGTTTACAGTCTAACTTTAAGGGCTTGTGAGCTGGATATTTATAACTGTGTCATGTTGTTGTTTAATGTGTACATTTAGTGCGCCTGAGAAAGAACAAAATACAACTTGAAAGCCAACATTTCTCAGCTTATTGCTAGACTACGCGACTCATAGTAAAATGTGTTGACGTTTATATAAAAGTTTTTACGTATAATACTACGTTTTCGCCCAAACCTAGTGTACCAAAACTTAGGCGTAGGTATGCCATATTTGTTTCTTGTACCGAAAGACTTGCTTTATGATTTTAATTTTAGAGTTTCAATGTTATTCCATATTTATTACTTTCAAGTTAAGTTTTATTTCTAGTAATAGATAATTTCTATTACATTTTGTAAAATATACCGTGTCTTAATTTTTTTTTAATTTTAACTATTGAAACCTCTAATCTATAAGTAAGATAAGTATCTGTTTATAATGTGAAAATAACAGTTTTTTTCTAAAATATGAAAAATTATTAACGGTACTTATAAGAAAAACACAATTTTTAAATTTTTGTCGTCTTTCTGTTTGTTCCGGCTAATCACCAAAACGACTGGACTGATTTTGACGCGACTTTCACTGGCAGATACCTGATGTTATAAAGAGTAACTTAGGCTACTTTTATTTTAGAAAAAGAATCAAGCTTTCGCTCAAAAAAATAAAACGTAGGTAATTAGGGACGCACCCGAGCGAAGCGAAGTTATATCGCTAGTCTGTATAAAATATTTTATTTTAGTACAAGTGTATCATTTTATAGAAGAAATATTAATTTTATCATTACAATGTACCTGCCTTTTCTTTTTTTAATCTCCCCAGGTAAATTACTAAGAAATTAATTAAAATTCTAAGAAATCTATTGTTAACTGACACGCGGGCGTGTCTGCGGCCGTGGAGGGAATAAATATACATTATTTCAAACAAATATATTTCAAACACTCAGAAATAACGACTTTTTATCATACTATTCGGATTCTTAAAAGTTAGAGAAATTGTGTATTTAATTAATTTAATTGAGCTTCTGCTTTATCATCTATCACACAAGTATAGTTATACTCAGTGAAATATTATAATTTTAAAATATATTATGAAATTTTTAAACCATACGCTAACATAATATGTTAGTATAATTTAAAAATCAAAACTTACATAAGTGCTAAGTCCCGCTAATGGAACGCTGTTTGCCGATAGCAGCAAGTCCTTCGGTGCGAGCCTGCCAGTACGCCAGGCGGGTTGAGGCGGATACAGCCGTCGTATCCTCACGAGACCGCCACCCCCACAGACTGACATACCAAGGCCTCGACCGTCTTTTTCTACTACAACCGTAAAGGTGTTATCTGTAGAATAAACAATCAGATTAGTTACCAAGTCTAAAATAACGTAATTAAATCTAACTCGTATACTAAGTGATTTTATATTAAACTAGCATTGCCCGCGGCTTCGCCCGCGTTCAGATGACCAAAAACCAAATTCTTAGGTTTTACATATAAGTATACTCTTAAGATGCAGTTTTTGTATTTTTCTCAGAAATGAGATATTTTCCCGCGTTAAAAAGTATCCTATATGTTGACCCGGATAACCAGCTATCATCATACCAAATTTCATCAAAATCTGTCCAGTGGTTTTCTCGTGATGCGGTAACAGACAGACAGACAAACAGACAAAAATTCTAAAAACTATAGATTCGGACTCTATATCGATAATAATGTCAATTTCAATAAGATTTTCCAAAAAATATTTAATGTACAGATTCGACTTAGTTTGAATTTTAGTATATGTATAGAAGAGGAAAAGCTATTAATTTTTAATACGTATAGATTATGGGTTTTAATTAGTTACAAACTTTCCTTAAGCTTTCAAAATATGCAATGAAACGTATCGAATGGTTTTGTATGGATACCAGAAATATTCTAAAGCTTTAGGTAGTAGGTTTATAAAATCAGTTCTATCTATAACAAGATAATTGATATATCGGTTTGATTGATAAATTATTCACAGATATTAAATATTCCACACTATCTATAGTCATTTTGTTTCATCATTTTTTATGTACTTGCTATTAAATAAAATACACATAATAAAAGAGATGTAGTGTAAAAATTGTATACTCAATATTTAAAAATAAAACATTTATAATATGACGCTAGTTTAGACGTTATAAAATTTCGAATGAACAAATTTTAGAATTTTGTATGAATTAAAAACAGCCCTGTTTAATTATATTGGGTCGAGTGAATTTCCTTTTTTTACGAGCTTTCATACAAATCGTGCGCTATGTTCAGTGTTTGTGGACAAATAGATATACATACATATATTATGCATGAATGGGATAAATAACGGTATTATCTTTTATCTTCACACATCAGTTATACTACGAGCAAAACCGCGAGTACCACTTAGTCTTATATAAAGAATATATTTGAATTTTCACCAGTTTTACGAAACTCTTTTAAGATAAAATAAATTTTATCTTCAAGAATTTCAATATTGCACTGCATAGTTTTACGTTCCAAATGGTATTACATTGTTTAGATAGTGACGATCAGCTACGGGCAACTTGAGAAGAATTGCTGATTTGTTTCACAGGACTGATTCGATCTAAGAAATTGCACTGTAAAATACAACTTCCTCGTGCTATGTTGTAACCTTATCGAAGATTTTTTTAAGAAATGTAGTTTTACGCTGTCTACTCGTATATTAGTCGTGTAGATAATGATTGTTAGAAATGGAGGCACATTAGGTCCTCAGTTTAATCGATTATTTATTTCCCTAACAACGTTAAGAATATTACACAAACAGCGTCGTAATGTATTTTAATTTAATGGTAGTATAATTTAATGGTAGTATAATTTAATGGTAGTATAATATAATGGTAGTATAATATACTACTATAAAAAAGGCAGTGGTAGCCCAGTGGTAACACGCTCGCTTGGGACACCGAGTGAAGCAGGTTCAAATCCCGGGTCTCGCACCTCTGATATTTTCATGTGCGAATCATTTCTAACATGATTACCGCTTGCTTTACGGTGAAGGAAAACATCGTGAGGAAACCTGCATGTCTGAGAGAACCTAGCAAGTTTTCGAAAGACATGTGAAGTCCGCCAACCCGCACTTGGCCAGCGTGGTGGACTATGGCCTGATCCTCCCATGTATTGAAGGGAGGCCCGTGCCCAGCAGTGGGACATTAAAAAGGGCTGAATACAATACAATACATAATATACTACAGTAGGTATTTAGATTTCAGCCCTTTTTAACGTCCCATTAGGGAGCACGGGCCTCCCATCAATACGAGGGATGAGACCCTAATCCACCACGCTATCTAAGTGCGGGTTGACGGTCACAAGTTTTTCGAAAACTTGCAGGTTTCTTTCACCGTAAGTCAAGCGGTTATCACATTGGAAATCATGTAGGGAATAACACATAATGGTACTGTTAAAGATTCTTTTAATTATTTTAATCAACCTTTATATGTAAAATCTCCTTTAGACTTAAAATTGTACTTACTGCTTAACCAGTATTTATGCCACTACAAGAATTATTTTGGCATATTACACGTGCTAGAAGTTCATTTGCATTTCACAAAATTTCTATATGCTCATAAGACCATATGTAACATATTATTAAAGTTCATACTTTTTTTTAAATGTGATAATAATTTATATAATTTACTAGTAACTTTCCATCGCTTCGCTCGGGTGCTTGATTGCTAAACAATATATAGTTAAGTAATAATATTTATTATATTTATAATAATTTAAATACCCAGCGACTAATCCTTGCTTCGCTCGGGTTCGTACTAGATACGTTTTAAGGGTTAGTATAGATTTCTCAGAGATGAGATAATTTCCCGCAGTAAAAATATCCTATATGTCCACCCGAATAATCACCTATCATCATACCAAATTTCATCAAAATCTGTCCAGTGGTTTTCTTGTAATGCGTTCCCAGACAGACAGATAGACAAAAATTCTAAAATACATAGATTCAGCCTCTGTATCGATAATAATGACTATTTCAATAAGGTTTTCCAAAAAATATTTAATGTACAGATTTGACTCAGAATTTTATTATATGTACAGATAGATATTATTTTTTGTTGTCTCTACAGGCGAGTGTGATTTAGGAAAGAGACTATTTGCACGTAGGAAGTAAATAGGGACTCCCTCTAAATTTTCAATATTTATCTACACACATTATAATAAACTTTATTGTCATTAAATCATATCATTATTATACAATTTTATATCGCAAGCTCTATATTAAAAATATTTAATTTCTTCAATGAATCCAGACGAACGCGGACAAATGTCGATTTACGGTCAATTTAAGTTCTTTTTATGCCAGTAACGGATGCCGAAGGGTGTCGGACATGAATTAAACATCACCTAAGGGAATCCACAGAAACAATTTTGGCAATGATCTCATTCAATTCAGGCCGTTCCTACGCAATTCTCTCCACATAAGGCAATTTTTAGGTAATTTGTGGACTTTTATTTCTTTTTCCTTGGGTTCGGAGAGGTGATTTTGTCAATCCGTGTTATTAGACGCCTTTTGTACTTCGATATATTTTATTATTGTATTTTATTTTCACTTTTATTGCGTCCACGTCAATTCTTTACTACTTATTGGTTTTATCTAGGTATTGAATATGAAACATTAACTTGAAAATTTTTATGAGGTCACCTTATTATTCATACGAGTATAAACATTTCGAGTCGACTTAAGAATACCAATATTATTATCCATTTGATCTAGGGTATTCTTCCTGGCTCTACTACATAACGCATTTAAGGCGTGGTTACAATTTGACGAGTGTTAATTATCAAGTTAATATCTCTCATTCAATATCTAGTTAAAACAAATAAGTTGTGAAGGTTTGAATTTTTTGGATTGTCGTACGAAAAGGGTACTAAAAATATAGCGATCAACATAATTTTAATATCAGCTACTTTAAAAAACATTAGCTGGCATGCCACTGTCCGGCAGCTGGAGAAATAACAATGTGTGAACATACTCGTATATGACGCGTTTCCCAACTGACTGAAGATGGCTTTGCGTATTATTATCCTCCTCTGGCTTCAAAGCCGACACCTTTAGCGCCTCGTGCCTTGTATCATTTATGCTTTTTATTTTGTTACATTTTTGTGGAATTCATACCATAGGTACATGCTACTCTCTTTATATTCTAGTACATGTATACATATAATAAAATTGTAACTAAGCCAAATCTGTACAATAATTTTTTTTTTCGAAAATCTTATTGAAATAAACATTAATATCGATACAGAGGCCGAATCTTTAGTTTGTAGAATTTTTGTCTGTTTGTCTGTTACCGCATCACAGAAAAACTACTGGAGGGATTTTGATGAAATTTGGTATAGTAATAGCTGGTTATCCGGGTCAACATATAGGACTTTTTACCGCGGGAAAATGTCTCATTTCTGAGAAAAAATACAAAAACTGCAATGTAAGAGTATACTAATATGTAAAACATAAGAATTTGGTTTTTGGTCATCTGAACGCGGCCGGAGCCGCGGGTAATGCTAGTCATATTATAAACCCCCAGCTTATATAGTAAAAGGAATGTAGAGCTGAGCTCTTAGATGTAGCGTTTCTACAAGGCTTCCATACTTTTAGTTTTTGACAATGCATGAAACAGGGCTTTGTCGTAACTGAGTTCAACACCTAGACAGACAATGCGTTTAATTAACCTCTCTGTGTGTCTGGCATAAAGCGAAAATTGTACTCGTTGCTTAGCAATTATTTATGCTGCTATTATGTCAATTTAACGTCGAGTACAAAAAATAAGCGATATATCTAATGCTTGGAGAAATGTTTACATTTTACACGTACCATTAATTTTCCTGTATAAAAACTTGTAATTAAACTACTTAATATTATGTTTTATTCATCTTCAATCATTCGAAAAACAACTTATAAGTATAGAAACTTTCTCGCTGTTATGATACCGATTCTACTGCATTTAAAAGTGAACAATGTCTTAATAAAGAAGAAAGATACACAATACGTTGGAAAGTTAAATTCTTTGTGAAAAAAATAATTAAACTTATATTTAAATATTATGATGAACAAAAAGAGATCGTTAATCGAATTGCAAATATTACGTAAATGTGACGCAAATGTAGCGTGAATGTGACGTTCAAGCAAAGTAATATTGACGTAAACATGACGCCAGCGTGAGGGTACTTTATGATCTGTTCTCTGGTTGAATACGATTTACCGATTCCACATAATTTGAGTTAAAGGCTGATGCTGATAGAAGCGCTATAAGAATGATAAGTATTAAAAAAATGTACTAAATAGCAATATGTTAGCT